ATGAGAAATTACTATTTGAAATTTACTGCAAAAATTCGTCACGCACCCTGTAATGTCGGCCTAAATGCCCCTAATTTGGGCCATACAAAAATTCAGCAATCGACTAAATTTTCAATAGTGACCAAAAATATCCATTAGTACCGACCGTCCCAATGACGCGTTCATCTAAATAAAATTGATAAATAGCAAATTTTTAGCGATGGGCCCAATTTTAGATCCATAGGCCAACATTAGAGCCAATACGCCTACATTTGATTTAAATGGTGCAGAAATCAGCAATAAGATCATCATTATATTTTTAAATAGAGATTATTCCTTCTTTTAAACGTGAGCAAATCTTTCAAATTGCATTATTAATATCAAATAATAGTACAGAAATCCATATTTCCTTCAAGGCATTCCTAAAGAAAGTATGTAGAATCAAAACAAAAATTTGGGCATTAGAAGGTTAAGGTGCAAATCAGATTGGATTCAGTGATTACAGCAGTGATTCTCAAACACACAGATATTCGCAAAAATGAGCTTGTATGTAGTGGAATTTTTCAACTTGACTTCCACTTTAATAGGACAGCATGAATTTTTCATCTATTGTGCAATCATAAAAAAACTAGAACTGTAGTTTTTTTTTAATTTCAAAAAAGTAATTCTTGAAGTCTCGTCCATTTGTTTATTCGGCCATTCGTCCATTCGGTCATTTGTCATAAGACGTAAGAAAACGCCAGTCTTCTTGAGATGCTGTCTTTGGTTTAATGGTATATTTTTAAATAAAATTGCACAGTTGAGCGATTCCAGGGAAAACAGCGACATTCAAATTGCTCTTCTTCGATTTGTATCAAACGTTGTGAAATTGTGTGTTATAGGCAATCATTCACAAATTCGGCCGATTCGGATCTTGTAAAATTATGAAAATGGCGTTCTTAAAAATTTTCAAAAATTGTAGCTCAAAAACGGAATTTCTGATTGAAATGAGGTCTGAGAAAAAGTTGTAGAGAAATATTAAATATTTATCAGAGTTGGTTGGAAATGCTAGCATGAAGCTTTAGTGTGATCAGTGTTCGGAAAATCTCTCTCAAATCTCATTTATTGAGTCTCCCTGCGAGAATAAACTCGCATGCGAATGTGGCAAGCAAAATTCATGCTTGATATTCACATGTATATTCACGCACTCACACTCACAACACCGTAAAATCATTCCAGCTTTAAACTAAAAAAAAAAACACTCAAACGTCAATTGATAGCATGCTTATGCATATTGTATTAGTTTTCCAAACCCTGATGCACAAACAAGAGTAATAACAACTAATAGCGCCGACATATACAGAAATGAATTTTTGAACCTAAAAACTCAGCGGTGGTTTTTGCGACGTTGAATTTTGGCAGGCAAAACTCATAGGCGCATAAACTCATGCATGAGATTTGAGTTTTTGAGTTTTTCCGAACACTGAGTGTGATAATTTATTAGCTAGAGAATGGTCTTAGAAGAGGGTAGGTAGATAGTTCCGTTGTATGGAAATTGAATAGAAGTTAAAAATGAGCGAAGGGCCATCAATGCGACAGTACAAAGTCAAACGCACACTTCTATGCCTAACCCGTACGATGTACGTGGAACAATCTACCTACCCTCTTCTCTAGCTAATAAATTATCACACTAAAGCATCATGTTAGATAGCATTTCCAACCAACTCTGAAAATCGCAAACTTCCAGTATGAAGTAACATAAAACACTTTGAATGTAATTTTATGTTTTTTATTTATTCAGGGTGGCCACTGAATTTAAGAAATATAATTCGCGATTTTTCCTGGATGCCAAACATATATTGTTTCGGTTTGGTATAAACGGATAAATATGTTGAAAAGCCCACTAGGATCAACGCCGAATGGGTCATTAGACCGAATAGGAAGAAGTTCTACGTTTAACTGATGGATTGCACTTATAAATTCTTATAGAAAACAGTAAGATCAACGGGATGGCACTTCAAATCTCGGATTAAGTATGAGAAAATTGTAAGGGGCTACGTCAGTTGTTTACAATATTGTAGGAATTCGAAAAATATAAAATTTGAAAAACGACGTAATTTTCAAGATCTCTGATTAAAAGCAATCTTTACTGTTGGATTTGGACAATATTTTAGGAATTCAACGCTTTGAAATATTGTGTAAATTTTTTTTATTAGAATGTCAAATGAGGTTTGAGGAGAATTATAAAGGAATACTGAGGAGAATTGCAAAGGCATTTGGCTAGAAGTTCCAGGTAATTTGATAAGTAATTCAAGAAAATTTTAAGAAGAACTTTCGGTGAAATTCAAAACTCCAAGATAGTTCTGAATTCAGGGAATTCAGGGGGATTCGGAAGAGAATTCTAAATGAATTAAACCTACGACAAACTTAATGATGGTATGACTACAATATTGGCACCAACCCTACAATTATGACTGTAGCTGTGGCTGAAAATATATTAAATGTCAATCATTTAATCGATTAATCAAAGATTTCAAAGGGACGAAGTTTGAGAAGAGCTCCAACATAGACAATAATTCCAGAGGAATCTTATTCTGAATATAGCAATATATTTGCATAATTTCAAGCTAGTTAGATGGTAACTCCTAAGAGAATTCAAAAAATTTTAAAGACAATTTCCGAGAGGGTTTCATATAGCTGAATCCACAGGGAGTTTTGAGCATATTTCTAAAAATATTCAGAGGAGCGAACTAGGATATTATGCAGAAATTTGTGAGGAAGCAGAGTTTCAAGTGAATTATTTGGGACCTCTCTTAGCTCAGTCGATAAATGCGCAGCTACAAAGCAAGGCCATGTAGGAGGTGGTGGGGTTCGACACATAGGGATTAATACAAAAATGGTACATTCATCGAAGGCTCTCAATTATTAATTATGGAAGTGCATCTTAGAACACTAAGTTGAGAGCACAGCTAATATGCGATAAGCAATAAGCGTGAAATGCGATGAGGAAAAAGAAGAAGAGGTGAAATAAAAAATATCAAAGGACTTTGCTAAGAATTTCAAAAAAATTCAATGCAAAGTTCCCTTGCAATTCAGAGCAAATTTCAAGCGAATTCTAGGAGAATACTTTCTAAAATCAAAACGACAAACCAAGAGATTTCTGAAGAGTATTTGAAATTAATTTTAATGATAATTATAAAGAGAAATGTGTTGTCATTCGTAACAAACCGACGATCCAAGTCATTGTTTACGTTTCGAGTTAGACCCTTCTGACATGTTTTTCCTGATTTCGTCAAGGATAGTCGGTACAGCATTTTCGCAACAAAAAAACAGCTTGAACGCGGTCATTTTAACGTCTCTAGTCTCAGAAGTTCGTAGCGTTGTATATAAGTTAGAGAGTTCAGAATTGGCTTCCAAGGAAATCGAATTCTGAACCTAGTTTCAAAGGATTTGTAGAGGAGAATTGCAGGGGAGATTTTCAAGGAAATTTTAAGGACCATTCCAAAGTCTGCTTCTGAGGGGAGTTCCAAGGAAATTTTGAATTCCAGAATTCCAATATAATTTCAACGTGAATTTTGAGAAAAGTTTCAATTATGATGGAAATTTACAGGATTTTTCCTATGTAATATTGACCATATTATGTAGATAGATCTAAACGAATTTTTCACAATACAAAAGAGATATAGAATTTGAAAACAAACAAAAATTTATATTCTGTGGTATCGAAAGATGGGTGAATCCCTCTATTTAAAAACCTACACGGAGAAAAAATACAACCCAAAATTTGAGTTCTTTTTACTTAATATTGACTTCAGCCTCTCACTTGCACTCGTTATTGTTGTCAAAAAAAGGAACGAGAGATTCGACCCAACGATATAGTTCAGCCCAATAAGTTACTTTTGAGTAAATTGCATATTCACAAATTTACGTGAATTAAAATTATTTTTGGGTAGAATATACTAAAGAGTAGGTATTTTTGTTGCTGACGGTGTTAAATGGAGACTACTATGTGTGATTTACTCAAATTTGGGTTATTGGGCTGAACCCTAAAAATGAGGGAAAAATTATTAATTTAGGGTAGTTTTTCATCTCCGTGTAGCTAACTAGATAATCAATGATCGATCAGAAGTTTGTTTTAAGAAATTTGAGTATTCTCAAGAAGATTCAAACTCAATCTGTTTTGACTCTTTTGCCATTTTTAAACCATCTCAGAGAGATTACATCAAAATTCTCCTCATTCTTGAAAATATTTCAACGAACTTCAGTCGAACACAGGCAGAAGTTCATTGAACTTCTAAAATTAGAAGCATAATGCTTCCTCAAATATACATTCTAAGGGAAAAAATAGGGTTGTCAAGCTAGTGCTGACATATATTTTCGAAAATAACAAACAATAACCTACCCACTGCAAACATGGCATTGATTGCACAAAGGGTAAACAAATGTCCGCGAAACCCATCATGTTGCATCGATAATTTGAGCAACCCTACATTCCCCCCACAACAGCACAACATGTAATAAGCTTCAGTTGCTGCACCCAACCGATATTAAGACGCTAATTCGCAGCAGGAAGCCGCCCCCAAGCAATGCAATGTTCGCTAAAAAGCAGAAGACAACCAACAACGGAAGAACGGCGGACACCGAAGATCCTGGAAAATTGTTTTCCTCAATGAATCGTCGTATGGCGATGCAAAAACCATCACATCAACAACAATATAGCGAAGCCATCCAACGACGAAGACAACGACGGCGACGGCGGCGGCGGTGATTTGACGTCACTACATTATAACAACGGGCCAGCCCAGCTGGTGTAGGTACCTATTACCGAGAAATGGAGAAAGCAAAAACTGCGAAAATGACTAGTTCAACAAATATTCAATGGAGAACATAAATTTCCCACATTCCTCGATCGATGGGGTGGGAACTGTGGGCTGTTGATTGGGAGGAGGAGGAAAATCGTAGGGAAAAAGGGATTGCACCACTTGCCTCGCTACATGGGTGCATCAGTCCGTCTCACTCTCGTGTCTGAAATATATACTTACATCCTTGTATATCCTATATTGGTCAATGGCCCACACGGTTGGCACATGCGTGTTAAGTAGCTGCGAAAGTGAAACATGTTTGTTGCAGGCCCGTGCACAGATCAGACGTGTTTTGCCAACGGCGGTATCGCCTACGAGGACACATTTTACCAACTCCTGGTGTGGCTGCTCGTTGTCCATGCTTCCATTAGGCCAGGCTATCCCTCGGTACCTACGACTCTACGTTCGACGTTGGTTGTTGCTTTGCGGATCCTCTTCACCTTCGAATGTGCTCGCTCAGTAGTCCGTAGGTTGGAATGATTAGCACAATAACCGTACTACCACAGTCGTTGGATTAGGAACCCTAAAAATAGGAGAAAAGTGACAACAACTAATTAGTATACGCCAAAAAGAGCTGAACAAAGCAATTTCCTGCTGATTGGGGTCACAGGGGAGCAGCAAGTTGTACGGTAGCATGATGATAAATGGCAAATGAACATAATCTGGTTGGTTAGCATTGTGGGAATCAGGACATGACTTCTGTTTGTTTGATCCTGGGTAACTTTACCACTTAATGAGGGATATATGTTCAGTCAGGACGATGTAATTTTGGAGTTTTTGGGCTAATTGTCAGGAAAATGAGAACAAATCATAAATACATAGTTGGTTGGAAATGCTAACATGAAGCTTTAGTGTGATAATTTATTAGCTGGAGAAGGATCTTTAGAAGAGGGTGGGTGGATAGTTCACCACGTTGGTCATGACGAGAGAAGCAACACAATAGTTGGGTAAAGAAGAATTGCATTATAACACACCATCGACTGGAAATGCTCTCGCAACGTGGGGCTTTAGGTAGTGATGAAACGTCACTAGAATTATTCCACAGCCGCAGTCAGTAATGAGCAAAGGCGGACGCACACCTTTTGCCTGTAGATTTGAAGACATACTTCAAATCTCCGCGTATATCGTGCGGGTTAGGCAAAAGGTGTGCGTTTGACTTTGTACTGTCGCATTAATGGCCTTTCGCTCATTTTCAACTTCTATTAAATTTTCATACTGCCGTACTCTAACGGAACTCTCCACCTACCCTTTTCTAAAGATTATTCTCTAGTTAATAAATTATCACACTAAAGTTTCATGTTAGCATTTCCAACCAACTCTGAAAATCGCAAACTTTACGTATGAAATAACATAAAACACTTTGAATGTTATAAATACATTTGCATCATATTCAATATTATATAAAATAGATGGCACATAAAGATTGTACAGATTATGAACACCGAATTTTCCCTACCCGCACCCCGCCGCGTCGAAAACGGACATTGTGGACGCCAGATACGCCCGTTCCGGCATCTACAACATCTTGGCACTATTAGACAACAATCAGAGCATCAAAAGAAAGCCCGGTTATGGACGGCCGACGACCCTGAGCGACAAGAAGCTCCAAAGTATGTTGAAGAGGAAGACCGAGGTGGCTACATCGCTGCGTGCGCTTGGCCGGGAGGTCGGTGCAACCGGCCAAACAGTGAAAAAGTACCCGACGACCATGAACATACATGTCAGGAAGCGGAAGTCACGTCCACTGGTTTCGGAACTGCAGGCAATGACGCAGCGGCAGCGGCAGCGGCAGCGGCCGCGGCTGAATAAGATGGTCAACTCGTTTTTCCCGGCGAATCGCGACGTGGCGGTGGTGATGGACGACGGGACCTATCTCACCCTGGATGGCAACGACTGGCAGGGCACTTCGTCTTTTACTTCCCCCACGAAGGAAGTGAGCTCCGAGGTGAAGTTCATTTCACACACCAAGTTCCCCAAGCTGTGACTGACAATCAGCGAGAAGGGAATGTTTGGACATTCCGCTCTTCTTTTGCTCGACTTTCGACTTTCGACTGGCCGTGAACGGGGAAATTTATAGTACGAAATACCTGCCGGAAGTTGCGTCGTTCATCAAGAAATACCATAAGGGCGAAGACGCGGTGTTCTGGCCGGATTTGGCGTCGGCCCACTACTCGAAGCGATCGTTGGAGGAGATGGAGCGGCTGAATATCGATGTGGTACCTAAGTCGGCGAACCCGCCCAACGTCCCATAGCTGCGTCCCATCGAGAGATTCTGGGTCAACCTGAAGCGTAAGATCTACTCCAACAAATTTGTCGCGAAAACTGAGGAGGAATTGATAAATAAAACGAAGAAAGAACTCAAAAACATGCCTACACGCATGTTTTCGTCCGCCATGGCGAATGTTCCGGTTAACTGCCGGAAGGCCGCTTGCAAGGGCGTCGAACTTTTTTGCAAGTAAGCTTAAATAATGACCTTCCATGGGGAATTTATCAAAAGAAATTATCTGTCTTTGCTTTTTTTATCACCATCCGAAAAAAGTCCATTTTTTTAAATGCAAACGTTATTAGTACAAGACACTGAAGAAGTTTGCACATTATAGACGAAATATGCGTATCTGTCTTTCAAGAATAAGCAAATAAGGTAGTAGAATTAAATGGAAATTACTAATCCTTCTCTCTCTCTCTCTCTCTCTGTATACAGGTATTCCACGCCCACATTCATTTCAGGATTCATTTCACTTTTCCAAGCGTTGCACAGTAGGGATTTTTGCAGCAAAAAGGCTTGAAATTGTCTGCCGCTGAAACCACACATTGTAGCATATGACTTTCTTTGGGAAAAATGTCAAGAAATTTATTCTTCATATTTTGAATCGCTGTGATAAGTGCATGTTTGGAGCCTATTTTGCCCTAAAATCCCATATTTTCTATAGTTTTTTTCCCCATTATGATACTTCAATGATTCAAATTTTCAGTACCTTTTATCAGAAGTAGCCAATATATCTTCTAGTAGTCAGCTTATGCCTTTTAAAAACTATTAAAAACATATATAGGAGAGCATGGGGTCAAATAAACCAGATTGTTTAATAAAATATAAAAGATTTCCAAATTTAAACTCAATATTAAAAAATTAAATATGAGAAGCACAAAACACTCAGACACTCAGTGGATTAAAGGACAAAACTGATTCAAGTGCATGTTTTGAGCGTATTTTTCCCCGGTATCTCATATCAAAACAATTCACTTTATTTGAAAGATTTCTGCAGCTGAAATGTTAACACGAGATTTAGGTTTTCTTGAAGTAGAATGGAATCTAAGCATCCAATGTGCTTGTTTGCATACTGTGTACGAACAAATAAATACATGTTTAGAACCTGATTTACCCCAAAATCCTCTATCAATTGAAAGCATTTGAACTGATTTATAGGCATAAATAGACAATATCTATCTTTCAAAATTTCAAAATATACCATTTAGAAACCAGGAAGTGAGCTTTGATTAACTATTGGTAACATTCAGAGGAGAATGAGGCGTCAAATAAGCCATGTGTCAAATATACAAGTTTGCTCATTTTGATGGCATATTAAAAAATAAATATGTATGCTTTACAAAATACTCAGTAAATAGGTTGCAATAGTCTAAAAGCCCAAAATTAACCAAGTTAAAGAATAAACTTTGTTTTGCACCGGTACCCTTGTTACTTGCTTTATCAGTTTTGTCCCTTAGACTATTGTAATTCACTTTCTGAGTGTTTGGTGCATCTCATATTTAAATTTTTAATATTGAGTTTAAATTCGATTTATTTATTTTTTATTTTTTTTAAATCTGGTTTATTTGATTCATACTCCCCTATAAATGTTTTCAAAAAATTTTAAAAGGCACAAGCTGACTACTAGAAGACATATTGGCTACTTCTGATAAGAGGTACTGAAAATTTGAATCAATGAAGTATCATAATGGGAAAAAAAAACTACAGAAAATATGGGACTTTAGGGCAAAATAGGCTCCAAACATGAACTTATCACAGCGTGCGCCGATTATATTGTAATATGAAGAATAAATGTCTTGACATTTTTCCCAAAGAAAGTCATATGCTACAATGTGTGGTTTCAGCGGCAGACAATTTCAAGCCTTTTTGTTGCAAAAATCCCCACTATGCGTTGCAAGACGAGTGGTCAACATACGGGCCCCGTAATATCATATATGATTCGATTCCAGTCTGACACGTTTTATTATTTTTATGTCAACATTATTTTTCATAAGGCAAAGCATACACTTAGGCAAATAGACATAAGAATTTCATAAGGCTCGACCTATGAACAACATAAGCGTGACTTATTAATGATTTTCGGGTAACATGACATAGCTCTTATACGCCTTTAACCATTTCATTTTCCCAAGCGTTGAAAGACGAGTGGTCAGCACACGGGCCCTCTAACCTCGGCGTCCATTTTTCAGTTGCAATCTGCTCCGATTTATAAGTTTTTGACAATATTGTTTTTCATAAGGTAACTCAATGAAATTCAAACTCATTTCTTATAGCTAAAATTCACAAGTGTTTCTTATGGAATTCTTACGTAGTTTTGCCTGCTTGTACCGATTTCTTGGAGCTAAAAGTCATAAGTGGTTGATCGCGCACGGATAGGACCCGATTTTTACGTTGTGTGATAAAAGGAGATATACACGACTGATTATTTTGGCCATCTTGCCATGGCAGAGATATACGTACTATTGACTATTTATTTGTTATCGTCTATCATACAATACAATACTTAACAGTACAGAACAAGACTATAGACACTGTATATACAAGTAATGACATCTGTGTGTGGATGGATACATCTTTAGTGTTTAGGGTAGTTGCACATATGTTCGACGTGCGCCCAAACAGTGGTTATTATGAAATTCTTACGTTCTTTTGCCTCAGTGTAGGCAAGCTTCCATTCGCACGAAAAGGGTATTGCAAGTATAAAAAACCAATAGAACAAAAGGTCGTAGGGAGAAAAGGTCAAAGCAACAAAAGTCGAAGGGGCAAAAGGTCGAAGGGGCAAAAGGTCGAAGGGACAAAAGGTCAAAGTGAAAAAAGGCTGAAAGTGTAAAACATTAAAGGGAAACCAATTTGTGCAAACTTAGCAACTAATATGATCCGTTAAAATATGTGTCTTTCTCTTGGAGTTGACTCCTTCTTTCAAATAAGAGCAGTTTTCGAATACCCATATGGCTAAAAATCTCTATAATAAAGAAGAAAAAAAAATTGAACCCGTAATGAGTTCACTCCTTATTTCAAACATGCGTAGTTCTTGAAATTTCCAAACATGAGTAGTTACAAAGTAGAGATACAAATCAACCACACATATGTCTAGTTGACGATTTTACACATGGGATATTTCCTTCTTTGAAACATGAGTGGTTCTTTTGAACTGGTTTAGTTTTTGAAATCTTGAATCAAATATGCTGCAACATTATTTTGCTTTATTTTATGCTAATTATTTTCATAAACCGTAACAATACAGATGCCAGATAATG